GGTGGCAAAGCCACACACACACACACTTACACGCAGTCGCACACGGCGACGCATAAAGTCGAGAGGCCGAAGAAAAGCACTAGTCGAAAATGCGAGGAAAATAACGAGAGAGGGAGCGGCAAACAACGTCTCACCTCACGCGGCGTCGCCGCGCAACGGCGGCATCGATGCACTTTTCCACCGCTCCCAGGCGGCGAGAATGTCCTTGTCTAGCATAAAGTAATGCCGCAAGGGCTTGTGCAGCTTGGCGTCAATGTCCACGACGCCGATGCGGAATATGCTCGCAGTGGGAAACCCAAAGTCCACAAAAACGCCACCGTGTGAACTCTTCCACTGGGCCAGTTCCAAAGGCCGCCTACTCCCCGCCGGCCCATCACCCACCGCGGCCGCCGCACTCCCCCTCAACAGCGACACCACCACCGACACATCTTTTCCCGTGGTCGAGGCGTAAAAACGGTCGACACATTCCGCTAGCCCCATTGGTGGGGAGAGAAGATGTGTTTTGATATCTTCCGTTCGTCCTGCTTCCATTGCGGCCGCCCGTATGCCACGCCGGCAATCACACTCCACGTTCAAAGAGGTCGAGGCCTCCGATGCACGCACAATCCACCGCACACTCGACATTTCCCTGGCACAACTCCACCGGTACAAGAGTTCAATGTCTAGCACTTCCCAGTCCGCGTGACTGCCAGAACCGTACATCTGCAGGTTTCCCAACACCTTTAAAACGCCTGATTCATGTAACGCGGTGGACAAACCTTCAACGTCCGCATCGCGGATCTCACCCAAAGGATTTTCCACAGGAATAAAACGAAAGTTGTTTGCCGGACAACGAATTAGGTGCAGTAGTCCAGCCGCCACAGAAGATTGGTCCCCTAGTAGTACCATATTGGGACAGTACATGGAGTCTGTTTCACCTGGTAGCGTCATTCCCACTCTATGTTGTTCATGCTTAAAGAACTGCATAAGCGAAAAACGGCACTGGTGGAGCTTTACCGGATTAATGTAATACTTCACACCATCCACGACGATGCCAACCACACGCGGGGGCCGCCACACTCCTTTTGGCTTAATTTCTACGGCCAGCCATCGTGACCCGCGTTTACCTCCTAAGAGAAGAGCTGGATTGACTGCGAAGTTGGGAATGACGTGGGCGTGTCCCGCGCCCTCGCAGTGCTGCCGCAGCGATGGGGAAGCGGCGGCAGCGGCGGCGCAGGACTTCGCAAGCGCCTCCGTCAGTGAAATTTCATGCCGGAAGCCGACGAAGTCCGCCAGGGCCTGGTCGCATGTCGAGCATGCAGAGGTAATTGCCTTACTTAGCCGCAGCGCGAGGCGGCCCCGCAGCCGCTGCAGTGTGCCTCCGCCCCCCGCAAGCAGCCGCTCGGCGACCGAAGCGACAGCCTCCGCCTCTGACGCGCCCTCTTCCCGCTTCTCCGCCCGCGCCGCCTCCGCCGCGTCGTCGTCGGGCAGCGCGAAGACGACGCTACTGTTCCCCGCCCCAAGGAGGCGCATCGTCTGCAGAAGCAGGCAACCGCGAAGCGAGAAGCCGATGAGAGAACAAAAGAAAAAAAGAATTACATAAATAACGAAAGAAAGAGCCTAAAGAAAAAAAAAAGTGCGTGTGCGGCATCTGTGCAATGGCTTATCGTCTGGCAACCCCACCACCACCACAACCAACACTCTCACTTACGCCAGAAAAAAAAAGCGGCACACGCAACGGCAGCGCCCATCGTGAGTAGGAGGGGACGGAATCCTCTGCGCCACGCCCCCTCCCTCATCCGGACTTCAAGTTTTGTTTTTTTGCCGCCGTCAGCAGCGCCACATAAGGCTTCACCGCGGCAGAGTCGCCGTGTGTCCGCTGCAGCAACTTCAGCGCGCGAAGGGACTCCTCCCAGGTCCAGGTGGCGCACAGCCTCGCCAGCCGCTCTTGTGGGACCGGGGTCTGCGACAGCAACGCCATGGCCTCCAGCCACCTCCCACCACCAAGTCCCGGGTCACTCCACACGAGCACCTGCTCCGGCCTGGGCCGTATAAATCGCCCGGTGTTTAGGAGCAGCGTCATCGCGTCCTCGCAGTCGCGCAGCGCAAAAACGAGCAGAGCTCGCTCGTCATCGTTGGGTTTGTTTAGGCTCTTAAAGAAGTAGAGTGCACCCCACGCGTCTCGCGTGTGGAGCGCGGCGCTCCGCAGCAACCGTGAGACGATGGCGGCCGGCACCGGCACCTGCAGGGCGCGGCTCAGTTGGCTGTAGAGGAAGCCGACGACGAGCAGCGCGGCGAGGGGGGCGTCCTCGCGGAGGGAGAAGGGAATACTCTTCCTCCCCTGCCTCCCCAAGTGCACAAACTTGGCGTCCTCCACCATCTGGTTAAAGACGCGGCGGACGACCGGCCAGACACGGGCCTTCCTCCACGCTTCATCATCAAAGTGCTGCAGCACACTCTTGAGAAAGGCCACAAAGGGACGAAGATAGGTTGGGCTCCGCTTGTACTCGGCAACCACAAGTGCGTGGTAGCGCGCAAGGGCCTTGACGGCCGTGACGAGGTCCCCACGCACAATCGCATGCTGCTGCACAAGCACACTGTGCAGCAGAACAGAGTAGGGAAACCAGGACGCTATCTTCCGCACAGCCTCTAACGGAATAAAGGGCTTTGTGCAAACGAGGAGAGACCAGTGCTCCTCCACCACCTCTCCCCTCTCCATAAGATCCGTCAGTGCCGTCAACGCCTGGTTCCAAGACAAAAGTGGAAGGAGCCGCTGCAGGCCATGCTCATCCACGTCCAAGGCACAAAACGCAGAGATGTTGGCGGCCCTCACAAGATGCTGCATGGAGTCTGCGGAGTGAAGCAAAGCACTACATGCTCCCAGAACACGCCGCCTCCAGAGCAGTTGTTTTTCATCAAAATGCGATTGAGCCCTGAAAGAAGAGAGTATTAGTTCATCCTGGGCCGACCTAACGTCTCCCTGAAGAAGGTCCTGTAGAAGCAAGACCCAGTGGCTACGAGCATGGTCTTTCCGCAGCACGTTTAGCGCCTTCATTGCCACTGAACTTGGAGCTCCGTATGCCACAACGGCAAAGGACTCTGGATAGGGTCGGCTCGTGCGCTCGAGCAAAGCAATCGCACGCCGCCAGTGTCCAGCCAACACCAATGCATTCACGCCTCTCTCCACGGCCTCGGGGTGCGACATGAGATGCTGTGAGGGGGTGGAAAGGGTAATGCGGGACGTCGTGGTGGCGTCCAAGCGGTGGAAATAGTTCGCCGCGCGCAGCACCGCAAGCGGAAGCGCGTGGCGGTCGGCTGGCGCCAACTGCACCTTCCCACTCGCCAGGCACCGCGCCACCTCCCGCAGAAACGCCTCTCCCGTCAACGTCCCGGCGGCTCGAAGATGTTCCACCACCATCGCGCACAACGCGTTGCAGGCCTCCCGCCGCGACACCACCGCCTCAGCGGAGGAGCGAAACGCCGCGTAGCGCCGCGAGGGGCACGGCTCCGACGCAGGCGGTTGCGCCGCCCCGAAATGGTGCTGACGCAGCGCGCGGGGGATGACTTGCATAAAGTAGCGCTGCGCCTTCACCTCGGCGGCACAGCAAACAAGTCTGGAGAGCTCCGCACTCTGAAAGGTAAAACACTGCACAGCATGTTTTTCCGCCGCTTCGTCCGCTTCCTCCTGTGGTGCCGCAGCGGCACCGCGGGAGGGCAGACGTCTTGCCAGCATCAACGCCCGCAGTCGAGCATTCTCGTGCAGCTCCGTCAGCTTCGTCCAATCTCCGTGTAGCGCCACAGCCAGTTGCTCCTCGAAGGAGGCCGCCGCCGCCGCCGCGGTCGTGGAAATCTTGCTGCGGTGCACGGCCTCTTCATACTTCAACAAGCTGTGGGGCAGAGCGAAGCCGCGCGGGGCATACGGCGCAAGCGGCAGCGCGACGTCGTAGTAACGACAGCCACACAACAAACCGATGGCCTCGGCCCAGCCCCCGGCTTGGGCAAACTTGTACGCCCTACGCGTCAAGGTACCAGCGTACATCGCCTCCCCGGCCGCACTTATAGCCTCTGCGTGGAGCTGCATCAACCGAGGCTGCTCAGGTGGGACCCTCGTGAGAATAGATCGAATCAGACTGTAGCTGTGAACACGGGCTGCGACGCAAAGGCGCAGTGACGCCTCCCACCCCATCGCATCAACACAATCCGGGCGAGCAAGGACGGCAGAAATTGCCTCAGGGGAATCCCATTTTTCAAGCGTCCTTAGCGCGTACGACCAGTGTGGGGCGTGCGCAATCGCCTCGGCAACACTGCGCGGACCCACTGGTTCCAGGCTTGCAATGGCGCGAAGCCACTGGCTTGCCTGCGATGTGTAGGTCCAAAAGAGTCGCTTCGCAGAGGGACGGATCTCGCGCGCGGACCCCAACAAGGACAGGGCAACACTCCATTGACCTTTTTTAGCGTGCAGCATGGCGTAAGCAAACGACAGCGCCTCCTTTTCTCTCCTCGAAACGGCTTTTGCGTCCGACAGCGCTAGAGCCCGACAACACTGCAGCGCAACCTCCGGTTGGTTTCTCCCGAGCACGTAGCACCGCATTAGCACCTGTGGTGTTACCGGCAGCACGCCGCCCAGCTGCGGCCTCTCCCGCAGCGCAGCATGAACGAGGGTGGCGAACTGGACAACGGTGTCGGCCACCAGCAGGCGGGCGTAAACTGCCGCCAGCTCCGTTGCAGGCTGCCAAGCCTCCGCCATGAGGGACGGCAGGTGACGCCATGACTCGGCGCAGGTGAGACTGTTCTGGAGAAACCGCCTTTGATCCGGTGAAAGCGTGGCCCACTGGGCGTCCATCAGTGACAAGCAGTCGGCCCATTGAGCCTCCTGACGGGCCAACGCTTTCCAAATCAGTACCGAATGACTCTTCTTGGCCAACGGCGACCTTCCCGAGCCAGCCGCGGCAACGTGGGCCTCATCCACCGTCTTCCGCAGCAGCTGCAGCGCCGCCCTTCTTGTCAGCGCTTGTGTGCCGTGAAGGTACATCCTCCACTGAAGCAGCAGATCTTTCCACTGCCACAGTCGCAGCGCGTGTCGCATTTAGGACGCCCACACACACAAGCACACATGCAGGCCAAGCAGGCGGCAGAGACACAACAAATGAACTCATAGTAAAAAAAGAAAAAAAAAGGAAACAACAAAAAAAAGGGATGCAGACAGCCAGCAACTAAAAAAGAAGACAAAGAGCTTGAAAAC